AGAATTAAATAAGACTCAATGAGCTGAATGCTGGCCAAATAAGAGTATAAAGTTCTTCCTTCTATTATAATATCCACTAATAAATGTAGAAAAAGCAATTAAATTACAAAATCATCATTATTTTGATTTACTGATATTACTCAACCACGAAAAGAAGAAAGTTCTGGCATTTGTGACCACATGGATGAATCTGGAGGACGTTATGCCACATGAAATAGGCCAGACCCAAAAGGGAAATACTGTATGTTTTCACTTATATGTAGAACCTAGAAAAGCAGGTGAACTCGCAGGAGCAGAGGGCAGCATGGTGGGCGCCAGGGTCTGGAGATGGCAGGAGTGGGGGGCGCCAGTCAGTGGGTACGAGAGTGGTCTGCGTTGCCGCGAGAAAGGACCCTCAAAAACAAAAGCCACGCACCAAAAAAGCTGTGTGCTCTGGAAAAAACTCAGCCCACGTTCCCTGCCCACTAAGTCTATTCTCAACACAACCAGTTGTCGCACAACACAAAAAAACCACTTCTCACCAACTTCAGGCACCATCACACCCGGCCCTACATGGGAGTGGAGCTCAGGTGTAGGAAGGGGTGTTTCTGCAGCACCCGGTCTCAGGGCCTGGTGCCCACTGCCCGGTCCAGCGGGCTTATCCGCCGGGGCCTGCGGTTCCCTCCCTGATGTGTGCCTCGCAACCGAATCCCCCGAGTTTTGTGGAACGAATGAATCGGTTTCACCTTTGCTTTAGGCTGTAAACTGGTCTGTCTATCTCCAATTTTCCTGTTGGATAACTTGCAGGTTGTACAGAGTCTCGGAGTGTAGATTGCGCGAGTGTGGCTATCCGCTTCTTCACGGATTTGCTCTGGGAGCAGAGAGCCAGGAAGGCACCCTACTGCCGGCCATTTTCCTCTCCTCCAAAATCTACTTTATTTGAAAAAATTTCCAAAAGCGAAACCAATACAGACAAGTGGTAACTGTATCACCGCTGTACATTGTAGAATCCTGAGAATTTACTTAACAACACACTAACTCACTAAGAAGAGCAATAGTAACAACG